CTTTGTGCGTAAATCGCCGCCTAAGGCGCTTCCGGAATCGGAAATTTATATGATTTGAGTATTTGCCTGCGACGTATCGATCGTTTGCCTATCGAGATTCTTAGCGTCTTACCTTTTGTCCAGAGAAAATAAAAATTCATTTTTCTCAAAAGTTAGGAGCTTGATCTACTGATGTTACGGAAGGTATTCCAGTGAACTCATCGCATTTGAGTCGAACGCCTTTTGGCTCCGCCATAGCGGAAGACAGAAAACCGACTCAAATGTCTTGGCTACTTTCACATGCCACCGTTAATAGGGAATATGCAGAACTCTGCCGCCAAGTTGAAGGAAAATGCAAAAGTTCGTTTCGGTTACTGAAAATACTGATTTTAAGTTAAATCCGCACAGATTCTACCAAAGAAGTCCAAATTTCGTTCGAATTAGTCGAAATAATATCTCAAGAAATTTTTTTTCAGTGCAGGAAGTCTGCGTTGCAAACCGAGATACGTGTGCTGAATGTTTCGCCTTCGATATTTTCTACGAGCGAGGAGACGTAACGCCTCTTTTCGCTCAAGCTAAATTCGTCAATACGAAACATCGTAACTCCATTTCAATGTTGAAAAATTTCTCCTCGCAAATTGCATGTTAACCAGGAGACTTGTGGACATTTCTAATTGAAAACTTCACTGCTTTTTACTCAGATTTCGTCCTGATGTGTCTGATCAATTTTGGATAAAAATTTCACTCGTACATTTTTGTCCAACAATTAAAAATCGTTTTAGTGAATTTGACAACCTTGGAATGGAGTTACGTTTCTTCGTCCGCGAGACGACGTACTGAAAAAAAAAAAAAAAAAACCACATTGGATCTAGAGTCCAGACTCTTGAAAACATTGATAAGAAAAAATACTCTTGATTCAATTAGATTTAAGCTTAATTCAAAAGGAAATCTGCTCAAATTAAGAGGCTTGGTTCTTAATTTAAGCAAAAATCCGATTGAATCATGAGTATTTTTTCTTGTCGATGTCTTAAGGAGTCTGGACTCCAGATCCGATGTGTTTTTTTTCTCGGTGCGAAGTTTGCAAAATACTCTAAACCCGCGTACCAGGTGCAATTTGGCACCCCTGCGCTGGATTCCGCGGACACAATCAGCTGAAATACCGTCGACTGGATGCGACCGACTATTGTTATAATTTTTAAAGCTCTCCCGCACGGCATCGCGCTACTCTCCCTATTTAATTGACTCCATTTTTTTCAGTTTTCCGCCCCCCCCCCTCGCGCGGGGGACAGTGCAGTAAATTCCGAGCCCGCAACCGCAACCTGCAACCCGTTGTGTAATCTTTGCATTGCTATTGTCGCCCCCCTTCCCTTCGTCGAGGATGTCGTTGCAATGCCTGAATGCCGGGTAGGATGCCGTTTCTGGGAGACTTCTACTACCTCGCCGCTTTTACTTTCTATCGCATAATGAACGCCGCCCGAATTCGGGGGGAGACTGCACCGACTCGGACAGCTTTGCTCGAATTTAAATCGATCGTACTCGATTGTGGTTCAATGTATCGTTTTGTTTGAAACAGTAGGACGTAACCTCAATCGAAAATTTTAGGATTTGAGTTGGAGAAGCTTAAAATTAGAAAATTCCGTGACTTTTTTTCCGTGACCGCAATGAATCTCTTTTTTCTGTATTCCGCGTTAAAATCTCCAACATATCCCGCAGATCTCACCCTAAAGTGGGTCAGTTGCGGTGGTCACAGAGTCGAGTTTTAAAGCTTGACTCTTGTAAATTAGCTAAAAATAATAAGATCCATTCAAACAGTGACTTTCTACGTTCAATATTAATCGAGATATCACCCTTTGAAATGTCGGGTTGAAGGCGTCATTCATCGCGGTAGTGACACACTTGGTTTTTTCCACTTTGCTGTCATCCGAGCTCCACGTCGAGTAACCAATAAAAATGTGTGTCTCTCCGACTGACGAAAGTAAGGTGGAAGAAACCAAGGGCGTCCCTACCGTGATGGATGACGACATAAATCCGACTTTTCAAAGGGTAATATCTCTGTTAATACATCTTATTATTACGGATCGTTTTATTGTGAGCTGATCTGCATCAAAACACGATTCTGTGACCAGTGCACTTGACCAATGAACCAATTTCATTCCAGACAGTGAGCCAGCGGGCTCTTACGTTATCTGATGTTCTATTCTCATGTAATTTTTCATCGACATCATTTCCACGAAACCTAGGAATTATGAAACCAATACGCCAGTCTGCGGAGAGCAAGGCTCCGGATTCGTGAACTAGCGTGACCGGCAGTTAAAACTGGGTCCGAGACCACATTCCGAAACTAGCCGGAATTTTCTCAGCCGGTTGAGGCCCGAAAAAGCTGAATTCCCCGGGAGGACGAGCCGCAGAGTACGACCATTTGGCCGCTGTGGCCGAAATCTATCCTAAGCCGTTAGGCGACACCCCGCGATGGGCCACAAGCTGCAGGCCCGAAGCACCTGCCTGGTTAGTGTTAATATTGCCTGTCTAATTATCTGCTCACTGTAGGAGGAAGTCCTTACTCTACAGGGTCATCCAGAAATCGTATTTGATCGTGAAGTTATATTCAGGGCAGTGCTCCTATTCCGTGTCCGTCTAAAGTTCCGGAATTCGGAACTTTTTTTTCCAATTTCTCTCACTCCGTGACCGTCAAAAGTTCCGGGATTGCTTTTAGATTTTTTCAAAAGTTTGAAGAAAGATCCGGAACATTTCGGGAATTTCAAAAGTTCCGGGAAAAATTCAGAAAATGTTTAAAAGTAGATCTTCTATCTTCAGATTCCGACATCAAACCAATTTGGTCGAGAATGATCGTAAATGAGTGTTCCTCCGCGGAAATGAGTGAATTTCTGCAAAAACTTAGTCAAATACGTGCTTTAAAACCGACGGGTTGTAAAAATTGAAATTATTAATCAGTTTGGATAATTTGAATTCATAGGTTGTGTTGGTATGCTCTTGAATGGTATGGGTAGGTATGATGTGGTGGAATGACAAAAACGAAAACAGATCTTGAATGAGCAGATTTATATCGACAAGTGTACATCGTCACCTTCCGGCCAAAGTATCACAAGCGCCATGTGACGTTTAAAAATTTCCGCCGCCACTTTATTGTTTTACCGAGATATTTTTGGTCGAATCCGTTTAAAAATTTTACTGAATTTTACAGGCAGCACAAAGAAAAGTTAGTGAAATTTTCGGACAGCTTCGTTGAACGATTTCTCTGTAAAAAACCAAAATGGCGGCGGAAATTTTTAAACGCGGCGTGGCGCTGTGATACTTTGGTGGGAAAAACGACGGACGGACAAAGTCAAAGTCCTCAGAAAAGTGACGGACGACATGTCGAATATCCGTTCGAGAGAAGCACCCTGTACATTTTTCGAATCCTCAATTTCGTGTAGCGTATTTTCAAGAGGTGCATCATTCGGAACCCCTCACTTTTTCTGCATGACACTGCATAGAGTAAAAAACGCCCCGGGAATCTCGAGTCCCATTTTCCGTCTCTATCCCGCTCCTTCTTACTCCGGGAGAGCGAGAGAGAAGGTGCTGCGACCCGTGGCGGCAAAACAAAATCGATCGGTGGCTTGGATCGAGGACAAAAAAGTAGGAGATGCACACTGCCGTGCCAAGGAAAAACGCCGTATGAACATTCGAGAGTCGCCAAATTGCCTCCGATAAAATGTTTATTTTCGAGAAAAGTCGTTAATATTTCTCCTTGAAATTTTTAGACCATTTAGATCAAATTACCAACGAAATTACCAGAAAAATCGAAAGAGAAAGGTTTATTAATTAATCCAGGATTTGTATTTTATCAAAGGAAATTTGGCAGCGTCAGAAGGTTCATACGGCGTTTTTCCTTAGGACGGGAGCACACCGCGCATTGGAATATTTTTATCATTCATCATCCGACTCCTGGCGGGACTCCAAACCGAGAGTGTTCCTGTGTCAATAAAGGTCATTTCGCCGGAGATTACGGTCGGGTTAACGCCGGGATTCGTCGAAAAATTGAAGTCGCCGCCTCTGATTTATCGGCGGAGCGGTAGCCGAGGCCTCAATCGGGATGAGATTTCTGGGGTCATGTTGTGTGGCTTTAAGGCGATTCTATGTGAGCTAGGGACGATTTTCGCCGTTATGCTGCGTTTCTACATTAGTCTATGTTTTTAAAGGCAATAATGGACCACTCGCCAAGGTGCGAATTTAAGCATTATGATATATAGTCGCTCTGTTTACAAAGAAATGCAACTACATTTCAATCTTGCCGTATTTCTTCTCGCATATTGCATTCATACCAGGATAATCTTGGGCAATTCTGATAAAGAATTTCACTGATTTTTCCTCTGATCTTATGCAAAAATCAGGGAAATTTGGAGAGGTATATACTTTTAAAAATTCTCTGGAAAAAAAGTCACTTGGATCCAGAGTCCAGACTCTTAAAAACATTGACCAAAAAAATACTCTTGATTCAATCGAACTTTTTGCCTGAATCAAAAGGAAATCCACCTAAATCAAGAGGCTCGGTTCTTCGATTCGAGGAAAAATCGAATGGAATCAAGAGTACTTTTTCTCGTCAATGTTACTAAGAGTCTGGACTGTGGATCCAATCGAATTTTTTTTATCCAGTGTTATATTCAGGCTTATATTGCAACTGAGGGACTTGAGAGACAAGGTGCAAAAGTGCAGTTTTTGAAAAAATTAAGTTTTTAACTATTCGAAGTAAGACTTAATGTATATTGTCGATTTATAATCTAGTGTATATGTATAGTCTTAATGTACATTATGTGAAAAATGCGCTTCGAATTCCAATTTGTAAGTATCAAAAAGTCATTTTGCACTTTCTCTCCGCCATGAGGATCCATGTTAATTCGAAGCTTCGAACACCTATTTCTCGAAATTTGAAAAACTGCACCAACGTTCCTCGTCTTCCAAGCTCCTCAACTTCCTTCATCATCATTAAAATTTACAAATTCTTATTTTAATTATTGTTTCAGGCACTCGAGACTTGAGCAACCGACCGATAATAGTCTACGACGCCTCTTTAGTGGCCAAGTCTTCCCTGGACCAGTCAGAAATCGCCAACGTCTTCTTCCACTACGCCACACTTCCTACAAGGTAATATTTTCCCTTTCTCGCATGACGCGCCCCCAGAAGGTGGGATCAACGCAGTTCTAAATACTTTTCGCTCCCGAACCTCATCCTTTAGATAGGAAGGCAATCTCAAACACTTTCCACTATTACTATGCAACGATTACGTGACAACTTTTACACTGCCGTTCTAAGGTGAAACGCCGAATGAGCCTCCAGACGTTGCCAAACCTCTTACGACAAATCATGAATTTTTGAGCAAATTTGTAAGTATTTTTCGCCCGAACTATCAGAGAAAATTGTTCGTAATTTAATTCAAAGTGTCCGAAAATTTCAACAAAAAATATCTTTAACTCTCCCCAAATACGAGTATTTTCTGAGAGTAAATTTGGCAACATTCGAATGTTCATACGGCGTTTTTCCTGAGCAGTTAACGTGTATACGGTTACGGAAACCGTAATCGGTGTCCTTCTCCATTAACTCCGTCACTTAATTTCGTCACACCTGCCACACTCCGCCTTTACTCCTCTTCTTGTTCCTCCTCCGCGGCGACCCGGTCGTCATAATTCGAGCGGGCACCTTCACATTTTTGCCGCGAACTTTCTAGTAATATGGGATTTGATGGGGGTCAGGGCGGAAGTGAGGACGGTGCATTGTCGACGGTGGCGCGGCGGCGGCGAAATGTGGAACCGCGGCTGCACCTAGCGCAATCGGGCGTTCCGATCTTAATTCGATCATGCGGGGACGCGCGCGGTTTAGCGTGTGGAGGAGGAATAAATTCCAGCGATGGCTTTTATGGGACCATCACCCTCAGCGTCGGCAGTCGCCGCAGGAAGAGTCCCACCTTTTGGCTGTGATGTCATGTGGACTACGTTTCGCAATAAGGAACTACTGCGGGCTGATAGTTGAAATCTTTAGACAAAGCTATAGACAAAGAAGACCAAAGGGATATGGAAGGATCCTATTGGTGAAAGCGGGTGGTTACGATGGAGAAAGACGGTAGATAATAGACTAACGGCAACCCACGAGAGACCGTAAAGTTAGTCCATCATTTGCTCCCTTAGTCTATGTATAGGAACTAACTATTTCAACCAATAAGATCGCTCCATACTCTCTAGTCTTTTTGTCTGTAGCTTTGCTTTAACCGTCAATTTCAACAAGAAGCCCGTTGTTTCTGGCTCATTTTAAGAACAACTTGTGCTCCAGGGTCTGTGAAAAGGGACCTTACCCTCGGGAGCAATTTGACAAGGTGAGCTGAATTCAATGGGGAAAGGTTAAAATTGGTGATTTTGGGTTCTTAATGGAAAACGCTCTTTGAGCGTTTTTAAAAAAATTAATTGTTCGCGTGATTTCAGTAATTTTACTGAAGAGAATGTAAGTCGCGCAATCTTAGCAACATCGGACTGCTCGTGGCTCCTTTTTGCAAAATGCAATCCATAAGTGTCATTCGTTTCTCCATGCGTTTCAATGAATGGGCAGCAATGCTGCCGCGCCAAGGAAGAACGCCGTATGAGCATTTTGCTGTCGCCAAATTTCTCTCGACAAAATATTTATTTTTGAAGAAAGTTATGCATATTATACCTTGAAATGCTTAGACGTTTTAGAATAAATTGGATTGCATTTTGCAAAAAAGAACCAGGAGCATTGCAATGTTGCTAAGATTGTGCAACTTCTTTTGCCTTGGAAGAAAAACCTGATTATCTATAAACAATTTTTATTTTACTCGCTAAAAATTGTTAATTTAAGACAAAAATTACCATGTAAACACATTTTTCAAGATTTCAATAGTTACATTGCAATGGATGAAGTTGCATAATCATAGCAACATTGCAATTCTCCTGGTTCCTTTTTGCAAAATTTAATCCAATTGCGAACAAAATTGTCCGAAAAATTTGAGGAAAAGTACTGAACATTTTTACAGTAAATTTGATTTTTATCGAAGGAAATAAGGCAACGTCTCAAGGCTCATACGGCGTTCTCCCTCAGCACGGTAGAACAGTAGCTTTTTACCCTAAAATTTCGTTCATGCCGTCGCTTTTCAGTTGAATGAGGTACGGTCCTCCGTCCAGAAACAACGATTCGACTGTGCGAACCTGATTTCGACCTGTCGAAGTGGAGGCATTCCTCCGTCACGTGGCATCAGTGTTGACGTCAACGTCATGGGTGAGGTTCACACCGCAGCGCAGCTAAGTTCAAGGAGCCGCCAAGCGATCGCGTGAATTGCGTGGCCACTCACCGATGCGCCCCCTCCCCCCGCCCCCCTCCACTATTCCGGCCACCTCGGGGCCGTATGACGTTGGCCGGTGTCCCCGGGGCCTCGTGACAACGGTTATGTTCTTATTACATTGACTGATCCCGTATCCACGATTATGCCTAATTAGACGCCTCATGGTTGCCAATCCTTCCATACGCGACTTTACAAGAGACAAGAGACCCTCCACTGGCCTCCTAGCGACAGGTGGAAGCTTTTACTCTCGGGGATTCAACACCCCCTTATGGACAGTTGGATTGCATTCTGCAAAAAGGAACCAGAAGAACTGCAATGATGCAAAGATTGTGCATTCTCATCTTTTGCAATGAAATTACTGAAACCATGAACAAATATGAAATTTGCATGGTAATTTCTATCTTTATTCAGTTTTTAGCCAGTAAAAGAGAAACTGGCAATGGATAATCATGGTTTTTCTTCCAAGACAAAAGAAGTTGCTGAATCTTAGCAACACTGCAATGTTCTTGATTCCTTTTTGCAAAATGCAATCCAATTATAAGGGAGCAACAGGCATCACTCTTTTTTTGGCTGTCGACCTACCTACATGGTGGATGATGAGCTTCGGGTGACGTCATGAGCCCCTAAAATTTGCCCCCTAAAAATCTGGATTTTCACAGGAAGTCACATAAAGAAAGAAAAACAAATTTATTTTAATTGAAAAAACTCAGAATTGTCAGCACTATACAAGTGTAAGTTTTTTTTATTCTTCACGATTTCATTCTTAGTGCTTTTGCCTCCCCCAAGTTACAGCTACTAACTAGTTCTGTCACGATAACATCTTGCGTCTAACTTTTCACTAAATGCGCCGTAATATGTAGGCAAAAAGTCAATCTGGCCCCTAAAAAATCTTCAATGCCGCCTAAAAATTGGGCTTGATGCGCTACATGGCTCCTAAAACTCTAAGGTGAGTTTCGAACACTTGTTCCAGTCCCCCTCTTCCTCAACTTTGAACTTTATTTTGTGGGTCTCTGCTTTTTACATTGAGTAATTAAATATATATTTCGCAACCTTGGAGTGGAGTTACACTCCCTCGTTCAGGAAACACCGAATTATCGCCAAAGTTCGCAACCAAGTCGCTCATTTGATGGCGGTTTCCACAGGATGCTACCCTGGGCCATAACGGTGCAATTCCCCCATAGCGTTGCATATAAACCATCGATTATATCGATACTCGATCTTTGACATAGATATTTTACCCTTCCATATCCCTATTCACCCGATAACTAATATCGAATCTGACATGAATTGCATTGTTGTATCTCGCGCTTGTTTGACCAGAAGACCGCAAACTGCTAGCAGAATTACAAGTTATGACGTTACAATAGGTGGCCGTCAGTCGGCGCACGGTGGTTCGAGCCAATGAAGATGTTGCATGTGTGAGGAATTTGCGATTTGACTGTTGATTCTTTTTGAAACGTTCGCGAGGAACACGATGGTGCCACTGGTTTTCTCTGAAATCAACTCCCAAACTCAAAAAAAGCTCTCAAGTTGAGGCCAAAATTGAGGGAATATCCCACGCTATCCTGAGAGTCCACCTCTACATCAGGACAAACTCTCCATGCGAAGATAGGGAGCAAATACATTGACAGGGTTTCCGTGATTTCAGTTTTAGAGTCCCCAAATAAGGTGGCAGCCCTGTCAATGTATTTGCTCCTTATGCATGGAGAGTTTGTTTTCACGTAGAGGTAGACTCTTAGGATAGCGTGGGATATCCCCTCCATTTTTGCCAGCTTTTTTGAGCTTGGGAGTTGATTTCAGAGAAAACCAGTGTTATCATCGTGTTTCTCGCGAACTTTTACACAAGAATCAACAGTCATAATCGCAAATTTCTCACACATGCAACATCTCCATTAGAGAGGTCGGACATGTCATTTTTTACTATGAAACTGCAAATTTTGATGTTTATTCCGTCACATTTTAATTTTTAAGGCATGTTTGTAGAAGAAAATTTCCCGATGAAACTCCTGAATTCACTTCTAGGACCTCAAAGTTTCGTATAAACCGGAGTTATAAGCGTTTATAGTTTTCAAAGCTCGTCCGACCTCTCCTATTGACTCGATCCATTTTTTTTTTTACTAAAACTGCAAATTTTGATGTTTATTCCGTCACATTTTAATATTTAAGGGTTGTTTCTATAAGAAAATTTCACGATGAAACCACTGCAAACACCTATAGGACCTCAAAGTTTTGTTTAAACGGAGTTATAAGCGTTTGAACTTTTGAAGTCTCCAAAGCTTGTCCGACCTCTCCTATTGACTCGATCCACCGTGCGGCGATTCGTCGTGGCTCGCCTTACTTCCTGGCTCCCTCGGTTTTTAATTAGCGGGTGGCACAGGCACAAACAGAACTGGACTTTAATTCATAGGGAATGGGATCCCTGGGGTCAGGTAGGCCCTGCAATTTTTCGCGAGCTTTCATCGGGCGTTTGGATGTAAATTGAAATGCTTGCCCCGAGAGGGATTTCATGTAATTTGATTTTGAGATGAAACCGTTGCGTGTTTTGTAGATGATCATAGGCATGCGCGAAGAATTTTTGTATGTATGCCAGCGGGCCGATTATTAAAGTTGATAGACACAGCTATAGACAAAGAGGACAAAAGAGGTATGGAGGGATCCCATTGGTGGAGGCGGGTGATTGTAATGGACAAAGGGGGTAAGCAGTAGACTAAGTAACGGCAACCCACGAGGGACCCGATAGTTAGTCCATAATTTTCTCCCTTAATCCATTGGAACCACCCATTTCAACCAATAGGATAGC